TAGATATAGATTCTTTGAAAATGCACAAGGTCAAATGTGGCTAAGCTTTGGTAATAAACACTGATGCTGAGAATTAATACTTAAAGTCAGCTCAGAGTTGTGGTTTTTGGGTGGAAGTTCAAGGTCTAAGATAAAAAATATAGCTATTACAAAGATGAAATATTTCATCCATGTCACTTTTAAATATGTATTAAAGTATTGTCTTTCTTTGGTCCTTGTCTTTGCACCGTCATCAATCTTCTCACTTATTTATGTGCACATATTTCTATGTGTGGGTGTGTGTCCTAGCCTGCCCGTTAAGTTGTGCCAGAGGCTCATCACATCCCATCTCAACATCAGGGGCATCTGTTTGAAACAGAAATGAAAGTGAAGCCTGTGAATAAAAAAGGCTATATGAATATAAAAATACATAATGCAAATGACTTGCAGTTCAGAGATTTTCTGTGAATGTGTGTATATGTGTGTGTAAGTGAGGGAGAGAGCAGACACATCAGTGCTCCGTCCTATCAGGGCTCCACCTCACCCTGACTGAAGAAGTGGGTTCACATTCATCTCTCCGAGGTGTGTGGATTTCTCATACATTACTCAGCAGTAGTTTCATGATTGGAAAGAAGAAATCTGGTATTTTTTTGTTGTTTGAGCTACACATGGTCTACACATGCACTACAGGTATTGCCTCTCATCAGTTTAGTAATTCCTCCCCTCTTAAACTATAGCACTTTCTCTCACACTCTCTCATTTCACATATTTTCATCTCATTCTGAACAGATGTTATGTTAAGTGCAAAAGTGCAGCTTTACCCTGTCTCCTAGATACTGTGGACCAGATAAGGTCAGTACATGGAATTAGTTCTGTTAAGATGACTCTTAGTCAGGTTCGTCCAAGTCCTGCAGCACACGGCCTCTGGGCAGCTCAGAGCTACAATCAGAGAAAGACTGAAGCATGACTGTTTAAGGATAATTTGGAAGGATTGGATGATAGAACTACTGAGATAGACAGCAAAATGTTATTCGTGCCCATTGGTCTGTGCACAGGAAGAAAGTGGTCTACCCAACCCCGAGGACGTAGTAAAAAAAGCAGATGAAGATTCCCAAACACTTCCATTTAACTTTTTTCATGCTTCACAAATCAATTGTCTCATGGAGTGACCAATGTGCAGAAAATATTTGAAAAGCTGCAAGAAGACTTTGATTGCACAAATGCTTTGAATCAGTGATCATTCAGAAATGAATTAATGATTTTCAACATGCAATATATTTTTATTTTTACAAAACAAAAAATAAATAAATAAAAATACAGATGTTTTTTTTTTCTTTAAATGAGATCATGCTTTTACATTGTCTTTGGAGAGATACCTGTGTCATTTCTCCATACAAAGAAGTATTTGTTGAAGGAAAATCATTTTAAATACAAATTTTTCAGGAATATGAATAATGTTGGATCCTGGCTAATAAGTCATTATTAATTATTTGTAGGTCATGTGGTTATTCTTCACTTTATTCATTTACATGTATTTACTGACCTTGTTTTATAGCACAGCTTAACACATCAATGCCTCAACATAAGGTGTGTACTACTAGCTGCTAAATACTGCTGGTGAATTCATCTGTTAAATGAAGTCAATTTATATAGACCTTTTCTAGCTATTCTGACAACTAAAAGTGCTACGTTTTTGCTGAAGTCTATATATTGGGTTAAAATAATGACACATTTTATAGAATTCATATGCTAGTCAAAACATGAGCATGAATAATATTAGAAAACCAAATGTAATATGTGAGTTCTGTGGAAATAAAATGAACCATTAATATTTTTACTCAAGATTATCATAATGTGAGAATCTCAGAACCTCATGCCTAATATTTCACAGTATGTATGTCAATGTAAGAGGCCATTTTGGGAATGAATGCCTCACCCTTCATCTTTTGCCTATCTATGGTTTTATGGATGAGTTCTGGTGGAGCAGCTGTGCACCAGGCATGTTTCAAACATAGAGCAGAAGAACTGGCGAGAAGCTTTGGCAGAAGTGTTCACAATAATGAGGCAATGCCAGGCAATTTTTGTTGCTTTCTCTCTTTTAGATGTGTCCCTGAAGAACCATCGTACATGTCACCAATGACATGGACCAATGAGTTTGGATGTGTGCACATGGCAGTGGGTTGCAATTCATGTGCATATTTTTGAGTTCAAAAGGCACAGTACATGCAGTGTATGCACACTTTGTTTTCACATGTTTGTGATTTTATTTATTTTTTAAAATATGTGTGTGTGTCATTCCTTGGTCGTGGGGGCTTAGAGGCTCGGAGCGCAGAGGTTCTCTAATCCAGTGTTTTGAAATGAGCCCTCCAGCTGTTGTGGGCTTGAGAGACTGCAGCCTTGGAGGAGGCTTAAAGATGACAAGATGCTCCTATCTTTACTTCTCTTGAATCTTTCATTTTCTTTATAATTTCTGTCTTGATTTCTAGTGCTTTGTATTGTAATTTTTCAAACTTATAAGAAACATCTTTTAAGTTTAAAATTTTTAATATAAACGTCTTCCTTGTCGCTATAAATCTCTGAGTAAGAGCATAGAATGATTCAGAGTATGAAGTGAACATTGCATAGAGGATAAGAAGATCAGACAAGTTTAGTGACCAGACACATTTATTGCATTTATAATGACGTCCTCATGTTGCGCATGTCACGACAGGTAATGGGGTCTCATTAGCGATGTAATGATGCAGACAACCTGAGGAGTTCACGTCTCATGTCATATGTTGTGCAAATGAACTAAAGAGGAGAATTAGGCTGCTGAATGATACATATTGGCATTACAGGGGAATATAATGCCTCTAAGTGAAATTGGCTGCATAATTCATAGGAAGTCTTCTTCATGAGCATGTCTCCCATGAACCAAAACAGAGCCCAGCAGCCTATCTCCCCTTGGCCCATCAGTGAAGCTGCAGGGCTTGTGATGTCTGCCAACAGAAGGAAAGCGTAGGAAGTCCTGCAGGTTTCAGGCAGACAGGCAAGCAGGGATCAACAGGCAGTACATCAGCTAGAATAGGCCAACAATATCCAAAATCTGTTAAAAATATTCTTGAGCTTCAAATTCCCCATAAACAGGCTAAATAATTCTGCAAATTGCAATGCATGAATCTTGAACACAATCCAATGGTTTTGTGATTGACTTGTGGTGGGATCATCATCTTACAGTATCACTAACATGGACCATTCACAGGACATGATCAATTATTTGTAATCATATCAGTGCATCATCCCCCTCACCATGTTTAGATAAGATTACTTCCCATCTGGGTTTTTGGACATGGATGCATGCTTGCGGGGTTGATGTAACTTAATTTTGTTTATAATGTCTTTAGCCAGTCTAAGAATAGATGCAGCATGCACAGATTTGTCTTCATGGCTCCTTTTTAAGACTCACAGCTGAGTACAGATGTGTAGCTTCTTCTGAGCATCTTGGTTAGAGAGGACAAAACTCTTTTGATGCACAAAAAAATAAATGGTGATTTTGACTCTTGAGCTGTATGTGTGAATGGATGGTTTTGTATTTCAAAGAAGAAAATGGTCTTAAATAGATGATAAATACGAGAAACTCAGGAGACAACCTATCATCTTTCCTCACGTAGCCGTTCCATATTTCATGTGATTCTCCACAGTTCAGTGTAAATGTCTTTGTTCTGCTGAGAGAATTACAAGAGACACTTTGTTCTCCACAGACCATGTTTGTTTTTCTGTATACATTAGGCATCAATAAGAAAACATGTACAGCAAGGGTAAACATTGATTTTTTTTGTTTGTTTTTCTTTTAAAATATGAAACACATACATGCTTTTAGCCTGTCTGGGTTGTTCCATGTCATCCAGTAGTTGACTGGAACATTCTCCAGCCACCCATTAACTAAAACAAAAGGTAAAATCCTGAATCAGTTTGAATGAATAACAAACATGAAGTTTCTTCTACATATTTTTAATGTATGATCACATTGTACAGAAGAATATTTTACATGACAGTTTTAGTTCTTGGATAGACCGTTTTCATTTAGCTACCTCCACAATTATTGTGTCCATGACAAATATGCATTAAATGCCTAAGAAAAACATTTTGCAACCAACTATGTTTAAATTAGTTACATTTATTCAATGCAATAAAAGCTCACATTAAGAAATATTTCTTTTATTAATAACATAATCTGCTTGCCATCATTATTAGGAGCACAAAAAATTCCTACAGAGTAAATGTAACTGAAGAATGGTTTTCATTTCGTACTTTTTCTACTTTTTAATGTGGTCACAGTGTCTAAGCAATTACTTGTTGTTCAGTTACTTTCTGTCACTCATAAGAAATTACTAGGATGTGATATTAAGGTCTATTTCTATTGGCCACTGTTTAAAATGGGGAAGACAAGCATTATCAAGAAAATAAGACACATATCAGTTTATCTTAGTTAGTGAAGAAATGGCTGTAATAAAATACTACAAATAGTCTCGTAAATAAGATAAGGGACAGTAGACAAAATGCAGCATTTGCTATTGTGTGAGTGGAAAAATTATGTTTTTATGTTGTATACAGTAAATTTTAGAAGAGGCTATAATTGGTGGGAATATGTGCGGGGAAAAGGCATTGTTCTTTTGCTGTGATTGTGCATGTGGGATGATGATTTAAAACATTTTATAGAGAAACATTTTTTCCACTGTTTGGACTGAACTGCTTCTGGTTCAAACAACAGTGGTTATTATAACTGTAATTGTACACACATCTTCTGCAAGTTTATTTCGGGTGTGATTAAGTGCTTTTACATATCAACAGATCTACTCACATAAAAGTTACTTGTACTTCAAAGGAGCATCAAATGATTTGAACCAATTATGTTCTATGACAATAGTCATGAAGGTTGCTATAAATTTAACCCACAATTTTTGTTTAACTTCTTGCCCTGTTACTTTTATGTTCACTTACTCTGAACCAAGACACTCACATCCTCTTATTTGTTCCTGCAGTGTGTGTCCGGGCCCTGGAAGTGACTGTGTCCCAGAGCAGCATCCAGGTGGCTCGGGGCCAAACGGCCATTCTGCCCTGCTCCTTTACCACCAGCGCTGCCCTCACCAACCTAAACATAATCTGGATGGTGATCCCGCTGTCCAACGCTAACCTGCCAGAACAGGTATCAATGACACATCCATTCATTGAAAATAAAAGAAACTATACCCCCAGCCTTTTAGTGTGTTTGTATCAAAAGGTCAGACTTAAAAAAGTATTAGATTGTAAAATGTTAACGTTTGAACATAGCGGTCACAATCCTATATATGTAGTTTTGCCATGACAGGTGTAATACCAATCTACCCATCTGTGCAGCAGTGCATTGTAAAGAGAAATGCAGACTTTTAAGTTGTTCCTTAATCTAATATTATCACATATGTATCATGCGGATGATCATTGTTATTTCTCCCTCAACGTTGCAGTCGAAGCAGGTATACAAGACTTGATTTGTTTTTATGTTTGCACAGATCCAGCGCAAAGAGAACGTTTGGGTTATCAGACATGATATAGAGACTTCTTATCCCCTTCCCAGATGCTTTGATTGTATACAATTCGAGTCATAAAATTTGGATCCGAACTTCCAACATTATTTAGGTTATGGTGACGATCAGGACAAAGCCTTGGCTGTATTCAAAGCTCTCCACCTTTTGGTCCAACTGGCGAAAAACAACACTGTTTTTTTCTGTATATCTGTACATTTGTGACACACTGTAGAAAGGGAAAACATTTATTGTGTCCACTGAACTACTGTCAAACTGCATGATGCAACAGTCTCAACAGAAAATGGGAGCAGAGCAACAAAGAATACAGCAAATGGTCCAACTTGTGCAAAAGCACCTGAAAAAAAAATACAAATAAACCTTAGACTTTTTCAAAATGTTCATCTTGCAACCAAAAACCTCACAAAGGTTTTACGTAATATACCAACCTAAACAAAATTGCAAAATGGTAATGTGCAAGAAAAATAATACATGGTTTTCAAAGCTTTTCATCAAACACGATCTAGAAATTGTTGCATAAATTTGCATTGAGTGCCCCTGAGTTTCCTCTTGTTCACTGGACAGTGCCTTTGGCTGTCAGGGATTCTAATGCTTTGATATAAATCATTCTTTTCTAGGTATGAACTTTGTTTTGACTATTGACATAAACTTTTAAAGTGTAGATGAATGGCTAGGATTCTTTTCTGCAGGTCAACCTCTGCCCCAATATCAAGTCTTTTCAGGCTGTAACAGGCTTTCTTCAAAATATGATACTGCCACCACCAGGCATCTTAGACAAGATGGTGGGTTTAGTGTTAGTTCCCTGATATATATAGCATTTTGCAAAAAGTTACATTTGACCAGGACACTCTGTTCCACTTGACTATTATGTCCTTGGCTTTGTCATGACCACCTGCATTTGCTGCTTGCTGTTCGTTACTAGAGTAATCACAGTTCCAATAGGCAACAGCATTTTTGAATACAGCCAGTATGTCAGAAACCCATAATGTGAATTGTGCTTAAAAATGGAACTAATGGACATTGATGAAACAAACACAATACTTCTCTTTTCGGTGCATCTGACGGCCTTAGTTACAGTACTCATTGTTTAGCTTCATTAAGAAAAGTTTGTAAGAAAAGTTTCCAGGTTTTCTAAATGGAACATAAGTCAGGGGACATTTTCCAAAATAATTTATAAAAGGGTTTATGACAATTTAGAAAACATATTAACTTTTCTGAAAATTGTATTTCTTAATTATTTTTAATCCCAGAGACTGTTGATAGAAATAGTTACCCTGAAGTTGGCACAGGTCCTTGTGAACCATATGTCTGTGTAACTATAAATTAAGCATAGTTAAACACTTTTTTTGCTTTTTTTAAATATATTTTGCACCTGGTCAGGAGTAGTTGCATGTATTATTTCTAATTCGGTATCTCATCCTCCTCTCCACTCCCCTCCAAAGGCTCTTCTTAGTATTTTGCTTTTCTCACCTTTGCTGACTTGTTTCTCTCTCACTCAGTGTTTCCTCCCCCTCGCGGGTCTTACTCTGATTCCATTTGAGTTGTTTAACATGCAGCTGCAGGCCGTACAAGCTCACCTGCCTCCCTTCACTTTGAACCCCGGTGCTGGTCGGCCGCCCAAATAACACAATCATCTTCTGCACTAATTAACTCACGCCCACGACAGGCTCTGTAACGCAGCTGTTCTCACTGCACAGACACAAACACACACACACACACACACGAAAATACTGACATATTCATATATACACACACATATACTCAATTGCTTTGAGCAGACTGCTGGTCCAAAACCACTGGAGATGCTCATATACTCACCCTAAGCAAATTTTTGTTTAAAAAAAAAACACAGAAAAGACATCCTGGCCATACTGACTAAACTTGTGGTCAGTTGATACAGATTGTTCTGTTCCCAGAACATGATTGATACAATTGACATATCAAGATCATATTCCCTACCGATATTCCCTGTTTCATATGGACAAGCTTTACAATAAACCTTTTAAATCACATACTGTCTGGCTGAAAAGTTGGGTCCTGTCTTTTTCTTTCCAATTAAGCAAGCAATTTTAACCTTAAAATAGTTTAAATAAATAATGCAGAAAGCCAGTTTCAAAAATAGTCAAATCGACAAATTGACTTTTCTTTTCTTTTCTCATTGTTACCATCTTACTTGACATGATGACAGGTCAGGCTGTGCCTCCTTTTGTTATGTTCTTGTTCTTCTAAGAATAAAATATTTTAAAAAATCTATTCATGCTAGCTTTAGCTAGCTGTTCATTTCAGAACCTATTCCGTTGAGTTTTTTCTATTCATTCTGATCGCAGAGTGCCCCCTGCAGGTAGCTACTTTCATAGCAGCTGTCATTACACTGGACTTCAAATCACTGGCTTTGAAATACACTGAAGGGTGGGCCTTCATTTGACTCAAATGTTGGGAATTGACCAACCTCAAGCTTAGAAAACAACTATGTTGTCATCTGGATTTTCCCAAATTATTTTTTTTCTTGAAATAGATAAACTTTTAACCTTTAACTTTTAAGTTTGTGACAAGAAATTATAAAGTTTCTTTATAATTTTCCTGGACTTTAGCCAAACAAATTGCTTTGGTAATCCTAACTGAGCTAAAGCAGCAATTCTTCTGCCTGATTTTATCACATACGGTAAGGAAAACGATTACATAGATAGTGTGTACCTTTTACATGCACACTCACACATATAACGGGGCATCCAGTCTGTGCAATCACACATTAAAAAAAGAAAACATTTGGTGTCTGCATGAAATATATGAGCAGACTTAAATGTGTGTGATGAAATAAAAGTGCCATGTGAGGTGACAGAACTGAAGAGTACAAGTACAAGGTCATTTTGAAAGTAGAGAAAGTGTCTTGACTGATTATAGTTGATGCTAAAAGCCATTAACAATTACTGAACAGAACTCTTGCACAAGCCGCATTTGCACTTTAGCAAGTATACTCAGGGCTCTGCATGCTTAAACATGAGTGCCATGTTCAGATAGACCTGAACATGGCATCTGTTGTAAATGACTCACCATTACTGTAAAACACAAAAAGCTAAAATGTGATCAAAAATGTTATTTCATACGTTTTATCTATTTTGCATTTCAGGCGATGCCTTTATTTCCTTAAAATGGCAGACATGGCTTTGTTCGTCTAATTTATCTCCTTAATGAAATTGCATTGTGACATTTCAAATGACAGCACATTGAAATTAGTATTTTATAAGATCAAAGAAATCCTGAGTAACTTTGATACACCTCCTGCACTCATGTCATATTTATCCTTTCCACATCAGCTCCATAAACTATGAGGTTCACCATGAGTCCATTCCACTGTGATTGTTTTAAACTTTGAAGACTAACTTGAAGACTGTTGTATTTGTGAGATAATTTGAAGCATTGATTTCTGCTGATTTGACTTCTGTGCTTTCAAATGTTGCATGCTGTCATACATAGTGACAAATATGAAAATTATGTTTTTTCTCGTTGAAAAGGAAATCATAATTAAAATAACTAATACTAATTTCACAGTATCTGCTTTGTGTCTCTATTTTGCTTGCAGATAAATAGTTCATATACAGATTTTTCAGGTTGTTTTTGATGAAAGCATGCTTGTGTGCTAGTATGGCAGTGTCAACGTCCAGGCTAATCATCAATTGCAAATCTTTGGCAAGACTTCAAAATGTATGTTCACAAACATTGGCATAGAGTCAAATTGAGTTAAGCTATTCTGCTATAATCTGGCAGAGATAAACTTCAAAACCTACAAGCTGTAATTGCAGGATAATGTGTTTTTTTCAGAGGGATGATTTGTGATCTTTGAATTCAAATAGATTTTCAGAATTCTTTAATAAAAAAGGTGTCCAAATCATATTGTTGCCTGGTTCTTCACAATTCACAAAATTTTGTGTTAGTCTATCACTTAAAATACAAACAAAATACACTGCAGTCAGTCATTATGAAATGATAAATTGTGGAAAAATCTCAAGTGATTTGCATATTTGTGAAGGACAAGAACTAACAATAATTTTAGCTGTGCATGTGTATTTGGATAGTAGGGTTTATCTGGATTATCTATCACCTGGCTTTTCAGGGGAAAGAGGTCAGGACATTTGATCACAGTGCAGCAACAGAACGATGGACAGATTACAAACAGAAACAACACACAAACATTCAAACACCCAAACACAGGTACACTCCACAGATTCACATGCCAGCACGTTGTAATCCACCGCTCAGCCTGTCAGTTAATCAGACCAGATAAACAGGATACAACCAATGCAAGGCTTAGGTTTAGACTGTTCGAGATTTAGGAAGAGGAACTTCACATGGAGCCCTCTTCAAGTCTAAAACTTAAAAAAAATATAACAAATGTCTGACAAAAACTTAAAATCATCTGACATTTTGACCATGTTTTCCTCTTCTAACCCTGCAAATACATTGCCATTTCAGAAAATCTTGAAAACTACAAAGCTGAATGGTGTGACAAATGACACAACTGTAATAAAAAAGCCCTGTCTGTGCACATGCAACATATTGTGCTGATGTTGTACATCTGACAAGGGTGGAAAGAAAGTCTGCAGAAGTTGTGTCGGCTATAAAAGAGAAACTTTAGGTGACAAATGGGAGCTGAATCATTTAGGATCTAAAATTGGTTTCCATGGTACAACTTTCCTTAGAAAGTCTCTGTGTTTCTATGAAGTGCTTACCTTCACATCACAGTACTCTTTTATATGCTCCATGCAAGCTGAGTGGATTGTGGCATTGTGGATTGTGCAAGCAAAGCAGAACAAAGACTTTGAAGAAATAGCCATATTTGCTATTGTGTATCAGAGCTGCTGTGTTGAACTCATACAATTAAAAAGACTAAGACAGGAACTGACATTTTCTGTTTCGTTAACGGAAATAGATGAAATAGTGAAAGTTTAAATGGATTTTGGTGTCTCGGACAGAAATTTTGAAGCAGTTTTTGTCTCTCTAATTTATTATGGCCTTTTCAGTGTCATTGTCCAAATTTCTGTGTTTCTTGATTTAGCTACGAGTAAGTTAATGTTTATCCATGAAATTTATCTCTAGTGAAATTCTGGTCAGTGGGAATCCTTGATGCAGAAATTATGTTTATCTGTTTCTGGGAATTTACCGTGGTCTTTTGGATAACCACATTGATCCCAACAAATCTGCATTAGGGTGAATTAAATAGATGATCCATTCCCTTGACCTCAGAACATGGAGAAAGAAAGTTTTATTTCTTCAGTCGAAGAAATTGAACAAAGACCCCTTTTATTCTCTTTTGTAAGAATTACAATGCTTTATTTTAAGTTATAAACATACACAAAAATGTATTATGACTAGAAGAAGCAAAACAAGCAGTTACAGACCATTGATTCAGCTTCTCTTTGTGGGCATACCTTCTGAACCAGATAAGCTAATTTTCAGCCTCAATATTATCATTGGATCTCACTGAGATTGTAATTGTTCATGCTTTTTATCAATGAGGGGGAAAAAAATGCATGCAGGATTTGTGACTGTTTTCTGTTGGATTGGCGTGATTTGTATTTTTAATGGAGATCTTAAGTTATTTTCATAGGGGTCAAAACTTAAAATCCCTACACGATCCCAGATCATTGATTCAACCTGGTTCTCCCTATCTCTATTATCTCTAAACATGCATTGAAATAAAAAGTGTACAATTTATTCCTAATCCTTACTGAATGAAGTTGTGCATGGACTGCAAATCAAACGGCATCTGTACCAACGATGCTTTGGAAAAACAGTGGGATGGTAATCATTGGGTACATGACTCCATATTGTTCAGGATGTTTCATGAGATAGAAGGAGATAGCAGTGTGTAGTCAGTAAATTAAAGGAGCCATGGGGGAAAGGGGGTGGGGGACAGAGATTTATTCAGGCTTTACTGAGAACATGGCAGGATTCTTCATGTCTCCTTATGGGGTCGGTTGGAAGAAGGATATGATCATGCAATTGGTACAGTGACAGAGAATATTTGAAGGATTTTTGTTTGTGTTTCCAGTTGTGGGTCGCAGAGGCAAGGGAAAACTTGTGAAGTAGGGCAACGAGCACAGATGCTCGTCCTGCGTCTATGTGCAGGATTTTTCTGAGAGAAAGGATGAAACAGGGGTTTACCGCTGGGCCAGCAGTGGGGCATCCAGCTAGTCCAGCTAGAGTTCTTAGGGCTGCCTGCCATCTGAACGGCGGCCATGGCCTCTTTTCTGTCAGCGAAGTGCCACAAAGCCAACCAGGTCACGCGATCGAATGAGGTGGCTTATACATACATTTAGAGCAGACAGGATCAACTCATCAGACAGACAAAAAGTAGATAAATGGGTTAAATATGGCACATTAAAAGATGATCTCATCAGATCAGTTAACACATAAAGGCATAATGTGGCATGTGAGGCCAAATGAGTGATCACACTCAGTCCAGATTATATTGTGAGGCCATCAGAGACAAGCAACACTACAAGTCATTCCTCAGAGTGGGTACCAAAGAAGAAGAAAAAAAAAAAAAACAGGAAGCAGAAACCTCTGAAAAGATGGGAAAATAGTCCAGTGACATACAATAAAAAGAATCACACAATAACTAGATAAAGGAATATTATTACTGTGGCAGACACATCACACCAGCAACCCAATAGGGATGCACTTCTTGTTAGTAAATGAATCTCCACCGAAACACATGAGCAGAAAGAGATGCAGTTACAGGCTCTCATCACAGCGGAGGAGCTGCCTATTCATCTGCACATAAGAGGACAAAGCGAGCGCGCAGCACTCAGGAAATTGCAGCCATGCAATTTACAATCGTTAGGCAGCGGTGGAGGACACAGTCACATACACACACCCACACTTTCATCAGAACTATCGCTATACTGCTAACACACACGCTCATGAACGTTCACGCAGGAACATATTGGTGCTGGTTGTTTCCTGGCTGGGTCTTTGAACAGTTCAATGAGGAGTCTTTTCAGCAAAGTGAATAGCCCCTCTGATTTTCCCCTCCATGTGTACGCTCTTGTGTCTCATGTAAGGCAGCGTGTGCGCGGCTGTCACGGTTCTGCGCATAAGCATTTGTGGGGGTCCTTCATCTTTTGTGTGAGCCCAGCTGAGGTTGAGAGCTGCACTCCAGTCTCATGTTGTCCGGTCTCACAAGTGATCAGTTTGAACCTAATCTTGAGGCTTTTGGTGATTGTTCACCGTTCTTCAGGTTTGGAGCAGAGGGACGCTTAACTCCACCTGAAAGTCTGCAGTCTTAGCTGGTGTAGTGCATTGGCACTATGACCACTATTAGAAAAAAGGCTTGGCTTTCCAGGATAAGGTTTTGTAGGAATTTCTCCTTGGATTTCATCTCTTGTCCAGGAAACGTCTGTTACTTCTACTCTTAAAATCATCATCTTTGTAGTTTGGATGTTTCCAAAATAAAATGTTTTCAATTATGCAGTCCATTTAGGGAATGCTTTCATCTGAAGAGCCTTACAGTATTGTGAAAGCCTACTTTTAGTGCATTCCCTTTCCCCCAAAGTCAATCATGTAAGCCAGAAAAAGACCACTGACAAATAAAAGGTTTTTAGTTGGTCCGTTTGCTTGCTTGTTGTAGAGAAGTAAGTCAATTCTGAAGGCTTATTTAGTCTGTGTGCTTTCTGCTTTCATCCTCACTATAGAAATACATCCCCCTCTAGTGTGAGAGACATGTAATGAATCAATTCAAAAAATGTGTAGAAAACAACTTTCACAGGATTCTTGTGCCTCTTAAAACACCCACTTTTATTCCTGTGACATTGGTTTGTATTTCCCCTTTGCAGATATATTTTCTTTTTTTGCTTTTCTGTCACACTTAAGTATTTATAATCAAGTACAAATTAAAGTTAGACAAATAATGTTAATTTGGTGAATTAAGTGAAAATACTTTTCAAACCAATGTGACTCTGTGAAAATATAATTATAATAAAATTATCTTTGTCTGATTCTACATTTGTTTAATAATCTAAAACATTTAGATGTGACTTCAAGGCAAAAACAGAAATCTGAATGTGAATATTTTTTGACCACACTGCCCCAAGTCTTTTTTTACTGTATAAAAATCCACAAAACGTTGACAAATTGTTCTTTTTTCTTTCCCTTTCCATATCCACCAATGTCCAACATGTTTTCCATTCTTCCATCCACTCCCTGTTTTTTTTATTTCGACATCTTTTGGCTGTTCCATTCTGTCACTTTGAATTCCCAACACAGGTGATAATTTACCAGAATGGCCAGGTGTTCACCCTACCTAACCACCTCAAGGGTCGTGTGGGCTTTGTGGCCACCATGCCAAGCACAAGTGCCTCCATCTTCATCAACAACACCCAGTTGTCTGACACTGGGACATACCAGTGCCTGGTGAACAACTTTCCCGATGGAGGAGGTCGTAACATTGGAGTCATTGGGCTCACGGTGTTGGGTAACTAACTTCACATCACACCAGCATGTCTATTTAAAGCTAAATGCGAGAACTCTCTCCTATATTTCTGAATAGTGGGTTAAATCTGTTCCACTCATAAAATGATTGCAGAACAGCAGCCATAAACCATCTTTGTTTAATGAGATTCTTCAGCTTTTTTTCACGATGCAATTTCCTCTGCAATGAGCAATGCGAAAAAAACAAACATTATTTTTGCTTTGTTAAGTGGTTAACGCGACACCACCCACTCTTCCCATCTGCTAGTGCCCCCCTCAGTGCCAGCATGTCGAATCCAGGGAACGCTGGATGTAGGCAGCGACATCATGCTGTTCTGCAGTTCAGAGGAAGGCATTCCCACGCCATCTTACTCCTGGGAGAAGCTTGATGCGCTGCCCAAGCTACCACACAACGCCATGCAAGGTATTACAAACAAGCTGGCCGTCGGAGTTCCCCTTTGCCCCACCTTTGCTGGTAAATTTCACACACGCAGAGGAGCTCTGACCAGAACCCAGACCCTTCATCAGTGCCACCTGTTATCTGTACCGGGCCCAAACTGCACCTCTTATCCTGCTGAAGGAGGATGAATGGATGGATGTTTGGATGAATGAATGGATTGATGGGTTGATTGATTGATTTCCACAAGTGAATTTGTGCTGGAATATGTGTGTTTGCTTTCGTACTTCATGCTGACTACCATCTCTGCCAACACTTACCTTGAAAAAAGTGTTATTTGGGTGGTTTTCAGCATCAGTTAGAACAAGTACAGTGGACTCTCCTTGCTTTTCCAAGTATGTATTCCAGAAAAAAAAGATGCACATGCCTGTACGCTACTAGTTAGTGGAGGTCTTCTGGACTTGCAATCAAACCCAGAAAGCAGACTACTGTCACAATAAAGTAATAACAGTAATTTTCCTAGGTCACGAGAATGAAACCATTTTTGAACAAACAAAACAAAACATTACCTATTTTCTTAATATAATGTCAGATGAATTAGATCTTTTCCTTTTCCGTCTATTGTATAACAAGTAACTATTAAATTAAATACTCAAATATTTTGTGAAACTGGATTGTCTCATGCAGACAGCTGTCAAAATTAAACAAAGGCTAAGCAGGGCGAGGACACCAACATCCTGAGGATCTTGTTTGCAACAAGTGATTCGGCTGCACAATAAATGTGATTCTGTAATGTATATATTTTTCTGCTCGGCCTTAACCTCACCCAGCAGGAAGATGACCAAATTAAATAAGCGCTACCATTTTGGATAGTGATCAAAAATTCAGCCAGAAGGAGGCCAGAACTTGATGCTTACAGAAATCATGTAGAAAATGTATGGAAACCTCTGACTGGCACTAAGCTTCAAAGTGTGTTTCCTTTTTGTAGGTTCTTACTTTGTACGTCTCACTTAATTTAAAATGAGATTCTTCACACTTTGAGGCATTGTGGGGTAACTGTAAAACATAAATGTCATGATGAACATTAGGATGCTAATCCCACATAGTAAATAATTCCAGTAGTGTACAGATGTGTGACTCTTATCATGCGCATCAAACCATTCATCATTTGTCACGCAGAACCAGGAATCTTACCGTTTAGCTGCACAGCATGATTCACATTTTGTATTACCAGGTAAATGGCTCCCTCTAAAGGTTGTCAGTGTAACATTCCAGTATTTTGCATGTAAAGTAGTACACTTAGTTTGAATGAATAACTATATGTTAACAGAAAAGGGTGTTTCTTGTTGCAATCACTTTAATAACATTGTGGCTCTCTGTATGTCCCTTCAGACCAGATGCAGGGCACTGTCACCTTGAGAAATATCAGCACAAGCACCTCAGGGTTTTACCAGTGCACTTCCAGCAATGCCATTGGCAAGAGCACATGTGTGCTAAATCTGGAGGTTGTGGCACGTAAGTAAACTGAATGTAGCATCAAACAGAAACTATTGCCGTTGTGAAAAGAGTAAAGATTTTAAAATATGACCAATTTCCTAATAACGCTCTTTTTAAAGCACTGCTATACTTTTATATATGGAATCTAATGTATTCAGTAAGTAAACTCATATTTTCATGAGTTGACGTGATATGTCAGATAGGACAGCAATGACAATTGGGAATAGAGTCACATATCACTTTGAGTGACACATGTCAGATCAGACAAATACAGATTTGCATTGTAAGCTAAAAAGAACACCAGACAGAACATCTTGCATACATCAGCACTCGACACTTTTGACACCAACAAAGCAAAGGCTGCTATGGGTCATAGGGAACCAGTTCTATAGGATCTGTCAGTCTTTCTTTTTTTGGCTACTTTTGTCATATTTCTTTGACCTTTGTTGTTATTTATTTGGACAGCGAGCGCTACATTTGGTTTAGATCAAAGCATATTCATGTGATCAAATAACTCGGTCAAAATTCAAGCCTTCTTTTGGGACTTTTTGTGCAATATCAAAAGCTACTTTTCAAAGAAATGGGGAAAATATTAGTGTAAAGATCTGTGTTTATGGAAGCTGCATCAGAAGTTGGCTTTAACAAAGTATTGATTAGATGAGACTGAATACCATCTATGTGTGTAGATTAGCGCATTTATTGTAATTTTAGAACATTTCATTTTGAGTCAAAACACTAATATGTTTAGTATCGGTTTACCCTTATACTTCAGAGTCTCTCCTCCTGTTTGTCTCTTTACCCTGCAGCCCAGCCTCAGAGTGTAGGTCTGATTGCAGGAACCATTGCTACAGGAATCCTTGCTGTCATCATCTGTTCACTACTAGTTGTGGTTACACTGTTTTACTGGAAGAACAAGAACAAATATGAGGAAGAGGAAATTCCTAACGAGATCAGGTTTGGTTCAGATTTATTCACTACTATTTGCATTTATATTGGTTAAAGTAGATTTAGGAAAAATTTAATGCAATTATTGGAAGAACTTGTTTATGTCTTCCTTGTAGAGATAGGATGACTTGAAGAATCTCATTTGTCTTAATTTTAGCAAAAACATAAGTATTTTCAAAGTCAAAATGTTTGCCTTGTTCTTGACAAATATTTTTTTCAGGTATCTGTTGTAGTCATACAGGTTTTGTTTCAGACAATTGTATCCTTAGGCTTATCTAAAAAAAAGAGAGAGAGAAATTGCGGATGTCATGCTCTTGCAGATGAGCATACTCTGTGTTCACACAGACATCACAAAGCCTTTTCTCAATAAACCCAAGTCAGTAAATTGGATTTCAGGTTCGGGGCGCTCACCTTTTATTGAATCTCCGAGCAGCAACTTATTTCATCATTACAGGCTAATTTTTCTTTTCAGGCCATGCGTAAATCTCTGTCAGTTGTTTACCAGGAGCTGCAGTTTCCAACTGTAATTATTCTCAGAATAATTTGGTAGATAATTCAGATTTCAGGAGTTTTATCTGTCTCTGGACACATCTGCCTCATTCTGAGCTCAGCTAGACTAAGGTTCCTTCGCTGCAGCTCCTTAGAATAAACAAATGTATTTAATCCTAAATGTGTGTTGGCCCCAATTTAGGTAAATGGAAGAAATAGTCAAGAACCAATATTGTCTTTTAAAGTTTATCTTTATTGGCGTTTTGATGTTTTTACAGTTGTATTTTAACAAAAACTATTTATTTTAGTACAATGACTGAATGTGAAAAGTAATATTTTTTAGAATTACTAAAGCATTTATTAAATTGGATTTTCTGTTACTGTCTTGGAAAACCGCAGCTAGTTTTAAGGAGTTTGGTTCTGTTTCTTTTTAAAAAGAAAATGCAAATTAAATGAATCAAGTTCTCTGGTAAATACATGGATTTATTTATTTTTTTTTGTAAATGTAGATGGTATCCCAACTTGATGAGCATGCTTATTTATTTCCTCTCAACAGAGAAGATGATTTACCTCCTAAGCGGTCATCATCAGTAAAGGCTTTCCATGCAGATGCCTCTTCCTCAGAGAACGACACACTGACTTCTACAAACACGTACAACAGTCGCTACTGGCACAACCCTAAAACCAACTATGACACCAACTCCTACACGCGCTACAATGGAGACACTCGTCAGACCTTTACAGCTGCTCCAACTGCTGCTGTACATGGATCCCACGGAGCCCACAGTCACGGACAACCTCAGAATGCTACACAGGTCCGTGAAACGGCGGTCACAGCTCCAGGCTCCACCCCTCTATCCCGCCACCCACCACCCACCACGGCAACTACCACAACAACATCTTTTGCCAATGGCGGCCACATGCTCTCGCCACCCAAGACTCTAGTTGTCACAACAAACTCTGCCCCATCCCCACCCGCCATGGTGCGCAGCAACGGCACCGTAAGCCTCAAACCAGTGGTGACATCCACACACGGGCACCACACGCACTCTTATGCTGTTAGCCAGGCGACGCTGGAGCGGATGGGGGCAGTGCCGGTCATGGTGCCCGCCCAAAGCAGAGCAGGTTCACTTGTTTAAAAACCTGATTTGTGACTCTGCTAACAAGACTAAAAGAGTGTTTGGTTGGAATGTTTGAGATGTGATAAGAAAAACTGACTGAATATGGGCTGAAGCAGTCCACAACCCTTTACAGTTGTGTCTTTCAGTAAGACTTTTTTTTAACCACAAACTAAAAAAAAATAAAAAAGCATAGGTTTTACAGTGCAGAGTTTAATTGATGCCAATTCTTTGATGGCCATAACGCTATTTTTTCAGTTCCTTTTTGTTTGTGCTATTTTTATGGATTTTCTGCTGGTAAAAACAGTGGGATTGATTTTTCTTTCTTTCTTTCCCAAACCCCCTGGATGATTTCACAAGGCTGGAGTTTAAAATCCTGCAAATCACAGAATTCTGGATCTTCTTCAGGGCTGGATTATTGTAATGATTGTGTGTTTTGTTTTGTTTTGGGTTTTGTTTTTGACCCAAACCAGACATTGTTTTTTTTTTTTTTTTTTTTAGCGTGTCAGTTTGCATGGTCAAGCAGAAGAAAGCTTTGAATCCCACAGTATAATGCATGTGTCCTTTAAGTTAGACAGCTTTATTTCCCATTATTTCTTCACGCTTTTAAGTTTTGATTGACATCAACAATAAATGTGGCAAAAAACTGAATGTTGAAAGAAATTTAGAGTTCCCAAAAGCATAAAAAGTGTAAAGAATGAAATGATAGTTGAAATGGCCTTAGAAGCTTGGAGTGGAATGGTCAGGGGTATTTGGTGCAATAAACTACTTAGTTTATGTCAGTGAATGCAAACGTAATTATTTTAACGCACTTTTAGAGCAAAATAATATCAATAGCTTTGTCTTATGAAAATAGTTCTATTCATTATATGCTTTATAATCAAAAATACATCCACTCCTCTCTTTCAAACTCTATGATTTCATGTTGATTAACATGCTGGGTTACCAAACAAAAAGAGACCACTCTCCTGACCTAAACTCTGACTTGCTGCTCAATATAGTGCTTGCTGTCACCATTCTTAGCTGTAGTATCTCTGACTCACACCATGTCAGTGCTGCTTTAAGATGAAAAAAAAAAGATGTCTTATTTCATACATGCTTCATAACGAAGCAAGAGAATTTTATACAATATTTTTGTTCTCAACTAAAGCTCACATTTAGTGTTTTTTTAACTGTACATATTAAAACAGTAGGCTAGATTGTGAATCAAAAAACAATTTGTCTCCTCATCCATGTTACATCTTACTTGTCCTAATGTTCAAACTGTTCTATTTTTTTTTTTTTTTACGTCAACTGCAGGCGACCTTTGTTTCTGCCTCATAGTGTTATTTTATAGAAATGTCTATCTAATAAAATGTGTTTCTACATGAGTGGGCACATGTAGAATGTATAAACAACTGACACCTTTGGCTGTGTGTGTTAGAGTTGTGTTGCTGACCTTCTGTAATTTTATTTGATCAAATCTTACGGGCAGAGTAAGAAGCTGGAGTGTTTCCAGGTCTTTCCAAATCTGATAATTCTCATTTCTTTTCGTGCACATAATTTACCCTGGCTGTGAGCCATATTTTACAAAGTAAACAACTTCATAACTTATTATATTTGTTTTTAATTTCAGTATTACCTTGAACTTAATACAGTAACTGTGTTTCATTCAAAATGTCAGTCCTTTTTAAATGAGTGATGAACAAATATTTTGAGTGGCCATTTACCATTTAAAACTAAAGATACCATTTTAATTCTACCAAATTATAAAATTATTTATTTCTTGGATTTCTTTGACTAGATCAAGTTTGAACTCAGTGGGTGTGTGTTTTATACCTATTTGCTGTTGTTTGCAGTTGATCTGCAACTTGCATTGTTCTCATTTCCCCTCCACACATTTTGTCTACTTGTAATGATGAAATGACTTGTAGTTAAACTTTTTTACAGTTAAGAGTAGTCAGGTACATGCAAGTTCTGTTGAAAGCCAGACTTAACCAAACACAAGCTTTGACACAGGTCTGACTGTAGGCACTCAATCAGTTCATTGTCATGTGAGGACGAGCTAAATATATGTGCACCTCAATAAATAAAAACATAATCAAAAATGTATTTTGTTAATTCAGTTACATAACTGCAAGTCATCATGGAATTATTTTTCTAGTTTTGATTAAGTTTGCTTACAGCTTGTAGAATATCAAATTCTATTCCAAGAAAGTTAAAATATTACATAGAACTACATTTTTTTTTCTCAGAAAAGTTGTTATGGCCTATGTGACAATATGAAAGAGTTGACTGTACTCTAACAAGGATGGTAAATATTGCAGCAGCCAAGCACAGAAATGGAAAGAAATTGAAAAATTGTTTTAGAAGAAAAAGGTAAAGTTACATGGATAACCAGGGCCTTCAGGATATTGTGGAACAAACTCAAATTAAGAGTTATGGGGAGATTCAAAACACCTGGACTGAACCTGGTTCAGTGTTTTAAAAGCCACCACACACAACATACAAATATATCCAGGACATGAAATACATTTCATTTGGAAAATCAAGGTCCTAGAGTACATTGGATGAGCGAACAGGCTCCGAGGTTCCTTGGCAGTCAGTGATATGTGTCTTCTGCTGGTATTGTTTTAGTCTGTTTCATGAGATTCAATAGCAACCCTGCCATCTACCAGAAAACATTTGGGACCTCAGGATTCCCTCTACTGACAATCTGTTTTAAGAAGCTGATAAATTTTACTCACTGCTAAAAATATTAGTACCAACTTTAATGATTAGAGTATCACTTTGCAAATTCTAATCTAACCCTTTAGAGAATCTATGGAGTATTGTAAAGAGGACAATGAGAAATGCCAGAACCCGACAATGCGGACGAGGTAAAAGCAGGAAGCAGCCTGGGCTTCCTGAATTGCCTCATTCTGATGGCCTCCAGACCACGCTTCACCAATGTAGTTATCATCCAAATGAGTCCAGACAGACGTTGAAACCTTACATATACTGTTTTTAAATCAGTCTTACTTTATATGCAAATTTTAAGAGAAACTAATTTTAAGATTTTTATTAGCTATAGACCAAATCATTACATTGAAAAGAAATAACCGTTTGATATCTGTCCATGTGCACTGTATGTTTCACTTTTGGGATTTGAATTGCTAAAATTCATTTACATTTTAGTGATTTTCCCATTTATTGAGATGAACCTGTAAGTACCTTAAATCTAAAGATGATCTGTTTTTTTCTGACATTTTAGCCATCTATCATACATGTTCTGATTTCGTTTATTTTTTCCATTTCCCACACTGTTCCTGCCCTGATCTCCCATTCCCTACAAGCAACTCTTTTTCTATGGGTCTTTTTTCTTTATTTGTCTTTGAAAGTATGGCAGGGTAGAAAAATTAAATTGAGCTTATACTATTTGTACTTCACACTTATTTTGTAGAATATGTGTGAGAATCTGCTGACTCTTTATCCCAGATTTATTGAGCATGTCACGTTATGCCTCAGCCATAAAGATGGACTATCATGTAGAAGATGGTGTATGGTTTGTGTATACAAATAAGTGTGACATGTTGCCAACAGTAAAACCGGTTTAAATATGTAAATATGTAAAGACGTGAAAAGCAAAAAAAAAAACAAAAAATAAAACAATAAAAAACAAACAAACATTGTGTTCTAACATGGGGACAAGATTATATAGAGGGAAAAACAAAAACACTGGACAAGTAAATAAAAATTGGTTAATACATTTTATCTGTCACTCGTTTGTTTACATTTCTGTGACCGTCTGATACATGTTTGTAACTTGCGAAAGTATTAATTCTCCTTTGACTTTTTCACACTTTGTGATTTACATTCAGTATATTTTATTGGGGCTTTATGAAGTAAAAAATGTGTTTAGACTTTGAAAGCAGATTACAGATACATATATAGTTTTCAAATTTATTACCAAATAAAAACTCTAAAAAGCGACAGTTGTGTCACACATTTTGTGTGTAGGTAAAAAAGTTACGTTTTTCTCGCCTCATCTGTTCAGATCGCATCTTCAACATTTTTGGTAGCCCATCAATTGAAGCAAACAAAAAACAGGTCTTCAGCCTTATTTGTGAAAAAAAAAGAAGAAGCTGAAATGGTGTTCTGCACTTTAAAGCTGATTGAGATACAGACACTGAAGTTTTATGTCTACTATACAAAAATCACTAGTGATGATCTGACACTAGTGTTTTTTTGTATAGTAAACAGGGTAAACTGTATTTTCCAGTGGTGTTTTAAACATTATTCAGACTCATTCATGGTGCTTCTGATGCTTCTGCAGGCCTGTGAAGATAACCATATAGAGAGCAACCTATGCAGAATAACTGCATAGAAAGCATATACGTATTGTTGTTTCTTCAAACTTTTCTGATTTTAATTTCCAAAGATGAATTGTGTAATGTTGCAAAAGTGACAAGCATGCTAAGTAAAAAAAATCTGTTTTACAGTGGCATTGCAAGATGCTGCATAAGGATTTATTAGCATTTTTGTGATGCTTTTCTGTACATTGTGTATTGTGCCGACTAATACATATTTAGCATTTTTCCCCCTACAAGCTCAGCACTTGTGTGTAGCATAAAAAAGTAATTCATAGCAAAATCTTAGGTGCTGTTGGCATCCAGACGGCCATTTGGGGGCAGTGTTCAAACACATGTTCAGCTTCAGCTGCCTGAAAGGAAATATCTAGTTTAGTCACACATTTTTAGCATAATAACTAGACAAAACATTTAAATTTGACTATTTAAATTTGAGAATTTAAATAGTCAAATTGTGTCAACTGATAACAGATTCAGTGTAAATGACCCTTATGAAGTCTAGCTAAATGGAAAAAAAAATAGCTTATAGCTGGCTGAGAACTTGTTCTACTGCAGTTCCTGTCATCATTTGTGATTATTAATCTTTAGGGCATATTGCTTAATCCTAAATTACAATCAACATTTCCTTGTTCATTGTCTAACTCATTTAAGCTTTTCCCCCCCTGGAATGACAATCAAACAAGGGCAACAATTTAGTGTTATCCTACAGGGAACATCACCCATGTGAGTGTTAATGAGTTTTTACTGAGTTTACTTACACACCACAAAGCTTTGCGTAGTTTCAACAATCAATACACCTGGTTTTAATCATTGAAGTCATGCAAAGTTCATCAGCACATTTTGAGTTAAATATGATTTTTTTAATAAGTACCATGAAGCTCCTGAATACTGCACATCTCTTGCAGATGTGCAGATCCTTAATAATATTAAGGTTATAATTGGCACAAATAAGAGCTAAACCTCAAAAACTACCCAAAACCGGAAGTTAAACACATAGTTGCCTATTTTTGTTTTTCTTTTCATCACTTTTTATTCACAATAGGATTGAGGTGTAATCTTTTTTTCACTCAGTCTTTTTAACAGTTGCACCTTTCTGGTTAAAAGCAGTGTGTGATGTACAGACACTTTCTTCACACTCTGTAGTCAGTGAATTACCTGAGGTCTACTGACAAGATGGAGCTATGGAAAATATTAGCATCTACTGCATTTATTAGAATATTTCAACTCTAAGTAAAGTGCAATAGCAAAAATCCGCTGTAATGTAACAAATCAGCAACACTCGTAAAAGGCTGCTGCATTGAGCTGATTGCTATCATCCGCTGTACTGTTAAATGAAATGAATCAAGCTGACAAGGAATATGAATGACAGACCAGCAATTATCAATTTCCAAAGTCAGAAAATTATGATGGTAGCTTCCTGCTTGGTGTTGAAGAACGTGACAGAAAACCTCTGTAATGAAAATACAGGGAACAGTATAAGGCATGTCATTCTGCCCTATAGTAGTGTCTGTCTCACACTTCTAGAAAATCTCTCACAAATTCTTCGAAAAGGAGAGGTAAAACTGTCATAGCTGCAAGTTGGTGCACAAGCTTTTCTGTCATACCACATCTAGTAATTTCCTTCTGTGTTTTGTATGTTACTTATTTGCTCCTAACAGATACATTGATGTAACACACCAATGTGTTACATATCGATTATTTATAATCTATATGTTAAAGAGTACATTTGACTTTGAAATGGTTTCTTTGTTTTCTACTCCTATATGTATTTGGGTTAATGTAAAATTACTCAAATTAATGAGGAATAGATAAAGTGAGGACATAATAGACATTACTCTGTACTGTAAGAAGAACAAAGCCTTTCAAGAATCAGGTTTGCAAACTGAATGCACAATGCAGTCCTTGATAAATCACTTTCAATCCCTCTTACACGGTCTTAACAATGTCACCTTGTATGTTGTCTATGAAGTAGACATCCACGATGTCATGTATCAATCTCCATTTTTCTCATTTAAAAAAGTTTTTCTTGTAGTGTTTTAGATCATTTGGATGACATGATCTCAGTAGTTGTATTTATTCACAAAATAAATAAACAAATCAAAACAGTGTTTGATTTCAGTTGACATTAGGTGCAATTCAGTGGCGGAGCCAGAGGGGTGGCTGGGGTGGCACTTGCCAACCCCAACAGAGCCCTTGCCACCCCTACTGGCACCCCACTGGAAATGGTCATTTTAAAATATAACACTTATGAGATCGGCAAAGGTTTGCCAGGAAAACTGTAATTTCCGACTGTCCCCGAGGGCAGCCCGATGCCCGACGCTGTTCATTGGTTAAACTGACATGTGGGTCCTTCTTGATCCAAAACACATCCGTGGCTTTAGAGTTACACCGTGGAGGAGTTCTGCAGGTATTTACATTTTACCGCTCAGCAGTAACCGCTGTTACCTTCCTAATGAGAGGCGGCACTTGTCATACATTTCTAAAAAGAAAAAAAAATGGTTGTGCACCGCTGTGTAGTGCCTCGTTTATTATATTAGCCATGCTAGTGCTGGTAGATCCTGTTGTAGACAGATTCTTTTAACATATTGTAACAGCCGTAATTGTGTAGTGTCTCTTTAAGATACTGTAGTATTGCTGATTATGTCACAAGTATGCGACTCAGTTTCTCTGTAGAGAACGAGGGAAGGACATGCTACAGCAGCGAGACATGTTAGCTTCCTAAATCCTAGTGACGCTACTGGTTGTGTGAACCCTGCTCCTTTTCATGTTTGATAACATAGCAGCTGTTCAACCGGGCTTTGTAAGGTTGGTGAAGAGAGTTTATTAAAGGACAACACTGTGGAATTCCCAGTACCAGTGTGGTTGTGAGTGTTTAATCGTCCTGATGAGTCTGCCGCCTCCTCTTTACTCTTAAACACAACCCAAGCGTTACAATATGTTTTAGTGCACATGCTGCCCTGTAATGTTTTATATCTCCCAGCTCTTGCTTGAAATGTGTGTGGTAAGAATATGTGAAAAACCATTAAGTTTTATAATGACTGAAATGTAAGTAGGCTATGTCATATGAAAGCTTTGAATTATAACCTCTCTAGTTATATTAATTAATTTTAATTAATCTATTTTTAATTTAGTATTAATTTCTATTTTTATGATAGTTAAAATAGTGTTGTTCCTACACATTTTTCGCATCACGTGTCACGTGATCAACAACTGGATGTTACTACTGGCAGAAATAACAAAGAAGATGACAGGAAGTATTAGAGAATGATGCTGCTGCAAAGTTGTTTTTTTAAGTTTCTCATAAATCCTTTGTCACCAGCTAAATATCATATTCATTGTTCCAGGTAGGGAAAGCCATGCCTTGCTGCATTTTACAATGAATTTAAGTTTTTTTTATCAAAGACTCTGACAAAAAGTGTCTATTAAGACAATTTAAATCTGAACTGAATGTATAGTTGGAACTGAAGGCCCTTAGCTTTTTCTTAAATACTGTTTATCTGAATTTGTTTTTCTTGAGGCATAAAAAATGTTTCACTCTGTCGTTATTCAGTGTGTCTGGGAATAAAGTTTTTAAAAAAAAAACATCCCTCGCCCCGGCTCGCAACAGACTTCTTGTGGCTTTGAAGTCAAACTGTGATGTCACTCATCCTGTCTGTGACGTCATTGGTGACTGTCTCTATATTCCAAGATTCGACAGAGAAATTCATTTGCAATTTCAGGACATTTGAAAAACAGGACAGCAATGGAGCAAAGGAATTTGTGTTTTGAAACTGTGGAGATCTTGGAGCGACGGTGTGAGGAGTTTGAGGAGGAAAATATCCTCCTCAAAGAAAGATTGGATAATCTTAACTTGAAACTCCAAAATCTGACTGGAAGAGACTCCACCATCAATAATCTGGTGAGAGAAAATCAATTGCTGAGAGACAAAGCGGATGAAAGAGAACGACGAATCCTGGCACTGAACGAAGAATTGGAGGATTCAAGAGTAAAAATTGAAACATTAAAAAGAGAGTACCGAGAGATGGCAATCAAGAATCAACGGCTGGAAAAAAACAATGCGTCGATCAGGCAACAGGCCAACAATGTATTACAAAACAAGACAAGAGATCGCCGCTGGCTTGAGACTGAAAACGAGGAACTAAACAAAGAAATTGTTACCTTGAAATTAAAGATGGAGAAAATAAAATCAAGAAAAGAGGGAGCAAATATCCAGAAAAGTGAAAAGACGCAGGAAAAAGACATGGTGCCGGAGGAGACAAACCCAATGATGCTGAGGAGAGTTGGGCATGTTTATGTCTCCATGTATAAACAGGGGACATTAAGATACTGGGTTCCCTCGTGGATATTTTAACTGCTGAAGATCCACAATTTAAAATATAAAAAAATAAGGACAACCATCTGGAC